ACCAAATGCAAAACATCACTTTCTGCGGATGGAGTCCAGGTTTTGGGGTCGGAAGTGGTTTTTCTCTAGGACTGAACCATTGTTTTTAGCATTTAATATTCGCATAGATAATCCATCTTTCATCACCAGTGACATTTCTGTCCAAAAATGGTCCACGCGCATTACAAGCCAGAAGAAACGAAACAACACTCACACTTTGGAAACAATGATCATTGGAGAATTCGTGAGGCACCCAAACACCTTCTTTATGGAATTTTCCCATATTCCTAAGATGTTTATGTATTGTGTCATAAGAGACATGTAATTTCATGGCCATTTCTCGAGTGTGTTGCCTTGGGTTAGACTCAACAAGCATCTTCAGAGCACCAATACCATGTCAGCCCCTGCCATCACAGTTTTTAAGGCTAAAGTCACCTGGACAACATTTGCTGAACCATTGTTGATACTTACAAACGTTCAAAACATTTCCATAAACTTCTTTGATATTCTTTGCAGCTACAGATGCATTGTTTCCCCTTTTATATTCAAACAGCATTACATGCCGACTGTGTGTCTCGTCATGTGCCATCACTATTAGGGATTAGAGTATACTAAATTTTACACATTATATAGGCTACACTAACGTGATGTTTCGGCAGTTCATTAACTATTATATGTGACGTACGTTTTTCGGGGTGGTTAATGAGTGTTCCAAAATGCGATATTAATTTCTTGATGACCTAATAGTTAAATTGAATCCAACAAAACTTTGAACTATGGAAATTCTGTAATATAATTCCCAAAATCCTTTGTAGGTTTAATTATGAAATAGCAATATGAGTTTTGAGATAAAAAGTCATTAATTTTAAATCCAATTAAAATAACCATTACTCTTATGAGCATTGAGGTAAGTTTGGGTGACTGAAGTATCTGCAAAATTACATCTAAAAATAAGTTTTGAATCAATTGTAAGGACACAACTTATATGCACTAATTTTTAGTTTGAGAGATTTTACTAGTAATTTGATAATACATCTATTTTCAGATGTCAATATCAATTTGTTTCTTATTTCATTCAAATGAAAGAAATTATGTAACTTTGTTAAGGTTTTTTCCACTGTTTTAGGAAGTCGGTCCCAGACTCCAGACAGTATTTCAAGTGATCGTCAAATCCAACCTCAAGTTTCTGGACCCACTCCACCTAATCTTCAGCAGCAGCAGCAACAACAGTTAACTCGGACACCCCCTCCAACATCGGGAATATACCCACCCCAGCATCAACAGATGCGGCTCCCTCATCCCCAACCTGCACAATATCAGCCACATGCAGGTGAGTCTAGTTCTGAAAAATTTTATGTAATTTAATAATTGTGGGGGATAATCATACAATGTATATACAACCTTTTCAAGGTGGAAAATAAGTCTTGAGAATTTATCAAGTTTTCATTGGTACAATATATTTAAGCAAATATAACACCAAGAATTAATCACTGTATACCCAGAAACTTCATAAAAATATGAGAAGATCCTTAGGTTGAGAATAAAGGAAGAAATGTTTCTACTTTGTACCATGTGCCCTAAAATTTGCCAAAACGTTTGCAGGAAACCATGAGACTGTACATTATGTCTACACCCAATGGTTATAGCATTATGTTAAACAAAGATACATCAAACATTTTTGTTTTTATATATACTGAACCGCAAAAGAAACGTCGCATATTTAGAAAACTATAATTTTCAAAAACATCGAAAAAAATTAATTGATTTATTTTGGTTAAGGTAAATTACACCTAAACGATGCTACGATTATGTTTAAATCTCCATTACGGCTGACTGCACTCATTAGTTCTGTTGTCCTAATGTTGGTTTTGCTTGGTCCGCATGAAAATTTCAAGATGATGATACGCACGTTGAATCCGTGCCTTAGTAGGGGTATTTAAGACGTGTAAAGTTTTAGTGTAATCATTATCTGTTTAATGCAGTACTGATGCCACGACTGAACCCAAGACAACGTGAACAAGCAATAGGACGTTTGAATGCTGGACAGCGGCCTCAAGTTGTTGCAAATGCATTTAACTGCAATGTTCGCACTATCCAACGTCTACGTGAACGCTACAATACAACTAACAGTACAAATGACCGTCCACGCACTGGTCGTCCCAGAGTGACAACACGACATCAGGATCGTTACATCTTACGACAGCATCTGCAGAACCGGTTCCTTTGTGCAACTCACACTGCTCATCAGACAATTGGCATTAACCAGAGACCGATTAGTGATGATACAGTTCGGCGTCGATTGAATAGTCGTAACCTGAGTCGTCGTCGTCCTGCCAGAGGTACTATTCTGACACCACGTCATCGCCGTGAACGACTACAGTGGGCCACCCATCGTCAAAATTGCCGACATCAGCAGTGGAGGATGATTATCTTTTCAGACGAAAGCCGATACTCAATTTCAAATGCAGATGGCAAGACAAGAATCTGGAGAAGACAGGGCGAAAGATATGCTGATAACTGTATTATCGAAAGAGACGCATGGGGAGGTCCAAGCATTATGGTATGGGGTGGAATCGGCTTGAACCAGAAATTAGGGCCTGTAGTCTTCCAAAATCTTGGACCAGGTAGAGGAAATGGTGTCAATGTAGCCCGGTATATCGACCATCAAATGCAGATGGCAGGACAAGAATCTGGAGAAGACAGGGCGAAAGATATGCTGATAACTGTATTATCGAAAGAGACGCATGGGGAGGTCCAAGCATTATGTTATG